TGAAAGCCACCGTAGTATGACAAACTGACAGACGCGTGGGGTCACTGTGTTACTAACAATAAAACAAACCTATTGCCATCGAGTTGATTCCAACTCATAGCGGCCCTACAGGGCAGAGTAGAACTGCTCCATGGGGTTTCCGAGGAGCAGCTGGAGGATTCAAACCGCCAGCCTTCTGGTTAGCAGCCAAGCTCTTAACCACTGCGCCACCAGGGCTCCCACTGTGTTAGGAGGTGTAAATATCAGTACCTCGAAGTATTAAATGAATATACAAAATAGCCTTGGGAAATCCAAAAGTCATATTTATTTCTTACTAGATTAAGCAAGTAAAGGGCGATCCTAGACAACAGTGGTAGTTGAGTGATAGAATTTTTGCCTTCCATGTGAGAGACCCAGGTTACATTCCTGGCCAACACACCTCACGTGCAGCCACCACTCGTCTGCCAGTGGAGGTTTGTGGGTTGCTATGATGCTGAACAGGTTTCAGTGCAGCTTCCAGACTAAGAAAGACTAGAAAGAAAGGCCTGGCGATCTGCTTCTGAAAATCAGCCAGTGAAACCCTATGGACCACAACGGTCCAATCCCATTGTGCACGGGGTCACCGTGATCAGGGGCCAACTCAACAGCAGCTAACAACAACAACAACAGACAACAGATAGCAAATTGTACCCCAGTTATAGTTCTTTACCAAATTTCTCCCCATCTCTACACAAAGTGGTTGGTTAGTCTACTACGCAAAGAAAGAATATAAAACCCCTCCAACTAATTGGTCAGTTACTATGCAAACTAGGTGCTGTGCTCTACTGAGGGACTGTCAGTTTTGCCATCCTGCTAGGCTTAAAAGAGCCGATCCCACCAAGGCTGAAGGAGACCTCACTACCATCAAGAACAGGTAGGTGCAGAGCACATCCTTTGGACCAGGGGGTCCCTGTGCTGAGAACCTCCTAGATCCAGGAGACAGAGAGAGCTATAACACCACAGACAGACAGTGTAAGATGGAATGAGATGGTGCAAGACAGTACAAGCGGCGAGAACCAGGAGACCGGGGCAAGATGGCTGTGCTGGGCTTCCTGGTCCATGGAGGAAGTCAGCTGCAGTGGGCATCTCGACCCACTGAGCGAGAGTTGAGTGCCCTCAGGCAGGAGGCTTCCTGGCAGAATGAGGTGCCTCCAGGTACTCGTTGGCAATACTAAAGAGCCGTAACATCTGCTTGAGCAGGGCAGAGACCAGGCTCAACTAGGGGCCGGTGACAGAGGCAGAGAGCAAGGCCTGCCTGCAGGCATGCCTGAGAACAGTCTGGGAGCTGTCTTATCTGGAAACTGTCCTGACTCAAGAAATGTATCCTGAATTGTATCCTGTTACCTCCAACTTAATCCTGATTCTGAATTGTAGCCTGTTACTTTCCTAATAAACCACATAAACACGAGTATAGTCTAAGTTCTACGTAGCCATTGCAATGAAGTATCAAACCCAGCAGAAAAGTAGAGTGTCGTGGGAGGGATGGCTGGTGTCAGAATTGGTGAAAAGGTTGGAGAGTGGAGGTATGTCTGACCTCATAGGAATCAGTTTTGGTCTGATGGTGACTCGCTCTCTTCCTCCTGATGTTGGGCGAGGTCTGCTGCTACTACTTTCAACATACTTAGAAAATTTATTTCTACTGACTGGTATATTAAAAGTATGGGTAAAAGCATTTCAAATTTCATTTACACTGTAATTGATCCCAGAAGATTCTGGAGAAATATTTATAATAAAGAGGAGAATAATATAAAGAATAATATACAATATCTGAATCTTATAACAACTATAAAATGAAACTAAATTTACTTAAATTTGTTACTATTAAAATGAAGTGGTTTGGTGCATAAGTCTGGAAAGAAGCAAAATTCATTTACTATTTGATCACTGTTACTACAAATTCTTCTTATCAATGTGAATAGATTTTCACGCACCCTCTTGCAAAATAAACATGATAGGGGATAACATTAGGCTATTTTAATGTAAATATAAAGGCTTACTCACACAGCATAAGAAGATGCAACTCAAGGAATTAGTAATATCTAGAAGAGAAATCTGAGTTTTATAGGTACACAGCTAATAAGTATAGCATTAACCACTCACTTCAGGACACACACATACAAAAATTAGATAGGGTATTAATAAGTTAAAATTCAAATTGTTCCTAAACAAAAGTTCTGAAATGCTAGCTAAATGATTCTAATTAAAGAAAAATATATGTAAGTTTTTATTCAACGTTTCAATAGCCTAACTTCACATGGTGAAAATCGTTTTTACTAATGACATACTGATATGGAGCCACAGGGTAACAGAAGAGTCCCTAGAGGTTATCCAGCCCATTCTTTTGCCCAAGACAAGAGTACTCTTAAGATATAGTTTACTATTAGTGTCTCAAGTTTCTTAGCGCTGCTATAACAGAAATGCCACAAGTAGGATGCAATATAACTTAGGGATCAAGAGACTTTGAAGTCAGTTTGGCTTTAAAGCCTAACTAGATTAGAATCCCAGCTCTATCATTTACTAGCTAAGTGGTCTTGACAGGTAACTATTCTCTCCAAGCCTCAGTTTCTTCATCTGTAAAATGGGAATAACATCTACTAAACATGATTGCTGTAAGAATTAAATGAGATGTTTGTACAGTGCTAAGCACAGTACCTGACACAGTAAGTGCTCAATTGGTGACATCATGTGTGCAAAGCAGAAGTGCTCCACTGGGTTTTCAAGGATGTGCCCTTTGGGAAGGAGACTGCCAGGCCTTTCAGAGGTGTCTTTCAAGTGGGTTCAAACTGCCAACAACTGGCAGCTATTAAGGCACCTGTCTTTTGAATGTGGTAGAGCCAGCTATCAAGTCCTATAACACAGTTTATTACTCATATGACACCTATATACTGCCCTATATGAAACCCTCGCAGAGTAGTGGTTAAGAGTTTGGCTGCTAACCCAGAACTAAAACCACTCCCGAGGCCAACTCTTCAGACAAAGATTAGACTGGACTATGGGACATAAAATGATATTTGTGAAGAGTGTAGATACATGACACTAAATGGGCAGCTCCTGTCTGGAGGTGAGATGAGAAGGCGGAGAGGGTCAGGAGCTGGTTGAATGGACACAGGAAATCAGGGGTGGAAAGGAGGAGTGTGCTGTCACAGTACAGGGAAAGCAATTAGGGTCACATAACAATGTATGTATAAATTTTTGTATGAGAGACTAACTTGAACCGTAAACTGTCATTTAAAGTACAACAACAAAATAAAAAAATTAAATTAAAAAAAGAGTTCTGCTGCTCACCAAAATGTCAGCAGTTAGAATCCACCAGTTGCTCCTTGAAAACCCTATAGGGCAGTTCTGCTCTGTCCTATAGGGTCGCTATGAGTCGGAATCAACTTGACGGCAACACGTTATATGAAATTTGCTAAAAATTTCTCATTATAATAATTAGAATATTTATTTAATGCTTATTATGTGCCAGGCACTGTTCTGAGTACCTGAACTAAATGTATTAACTCACTGAATTTTTTTAACAGCCATAGTGGAATGCATTGTTACTTTCCCATTTTATGGGGCCCTCCTGGCACAGTGGTTAAAAGCTCAGCTGCTAACCAAAAGGGCGGCAGTTTGAATCCACGGGCCACTCCTTGGAAACCCTATGTGGCAGTTCTACTCTGTCCTATAGGGCCACTATGAGTCGGAATTGAGGCAACGGCAATGGGTTTGGTTTTCGTTTGGTTTCCCATTTTATCAAAAAGAAAACTAAGGATCAAGGTCACACAGCTATTAAGTGCTGGAGACAGGATGTAAGCTATGGAGTCGTAGCAAAACTCATGCTTTTAATAACTATACACTGCTACCTCTCTCACTATAAGTGACTTGAAAGCACACATCATATATATTTTTAACATACATTTGCTGCACACAGTTATGTTCCAGGTACTTCACAAGTCAACAAATTGTGTTTTATTTCTCTGTATCTGCTCTTTGCATAACATGTTACTTGGTGAATAGATGAAAACCAATACAGGGCCCTAACATGCCAAACAGTCTTGGCCCTAGCTATCCTTCCATCTCATCTCCTCATTTATTCCACTCTGTCCACACCTGGCTTTCTTGCTTTCCTCCTAAACTGCCATGCACATTGCCACTTCATTGATGAGACTATGGGGGTTCATTCATTTCACAAACATTTACTGATCATCTACTATGTGATAGTCTCAGTGAAGAGGCACTTGAGAATACAGGATGAAAAAAACATGGCTCCTCAGAAATAGGACATTAGTGGGAAAATAGGTGAAATTGGAAAAAAGTCTCTGGGTTAGTTATTGTATCAGTGCTAATTTCTAAGTTTTGATAAACGTGCCACGGCTATGTAAGATGTTAACATTAGGGGAAGCTGGGTGAAGTGGATATAAGAACTTTCTGTGTCTATCTTCGCAACTTTTCTGTAAATTTAAAATTATTTCAAAATTAAACAATTTTTTAAAAAGAAATATGCTCCCTACCTTCAAGAACTCAAAATAATCTAGAGTAAAAGTTGGACAGGTAAACAAGTAAGTACATCAAGTGTGTGATAAGTGTTATGTTAGAAATAATGTTTGGAATACTATGAGAGCTGGAATGAGGAGGGGATTAGCAACAGCCTGAGGGTGGAAGCTTTCCGCCAGACAGGTAAAACTTCTGCGTCAACCCTAATATTATCAATAACCCAGGCAAACGTCCTTTGTAGCCTACTGCCAAGGGGTGGATCATGGAACGTGGATTCGATCCTGACCCTACCATTTACTGGATAACCTAATCATTCAGCCTTCTGAAATCTCAGTTTCTTCGTCTGCAAATTGGGAATTAGAAGATTAACGTGAGTCCTCGCAGAGTTGTCGGGAATAAAAGGTTAGAAAGTGATTTGCAAACCATGAAACACTGTAGGAACGTGAATGACTGTTACCTGCCAGGCAGACCAGTACGCACTTGCTCTCTCCCACCCAGTGACCCACCTGGAACTCCAGTCCGTAGATCACCGGCGCATCATCCTCCATGCTGCTGCAAGGCGGGCGGACCTGCAGTCGCTCACACAGACCCCCTCAGTAGAACAGGAACGTCCCCAAAACGCGGACGTTCTCCCAGCGCCCATTCATTCCCTCCCCCTTTCGGCTTCGCACTCACTGTAGCAAACGACTCCAAAATTGAGACTCTTTTGGCCCACACCAGCTCCCGTAGCGGCTCACTTCCTGTGTTTTTTGGACGCGTCATCAACTACCACTTCTCACCAGCGGCCAATAGCAACAGCGCTAGATTCATGCGCATGGCCATTTTGGGTACCTGGTCCAGGTTCTTCGTCCACCTTCCTCTTGGACAGGAAGACAGTAATCGGGAGTACGATGAGGTTGGGCTGGGATGCCGAGAGGCTGCAGAGGTGGTGATTGGGCGTGTCTCGGAGACAGGCGGTATTCTGGAGAATAGGCTCAGAGGCGGGCGTCGATGCCTCGCTAGTATGTCGCTCCGCCCCCAGCCCTTACTTCCCTGCACCATCATCCTAGAAATAATCACTCGTTCTGGTGCCGTGATAACTGTAATTTATTATTATTATTATTACTATTTACTAAGTGCTAGATCAGATACTTTCTATGCATAATCGTAAAGATCTTGGTTTCAACCTTACGAATAAGGTATTATACTTCCATTTTACGGATGAGAATCTGCAAAATTAGGTAGGAATCGAACCTGATCTGTCAGACTCAGCTAGGCTCTAGCTAGGTTTCTAAAGTCAGGGCATGATGAATTTACTTCCTTAGCGCCTGGTACTTTGTCTGACAAATGATTAGGTAATGAATGAAAGTCTGTCATAGTATCACTTGAAATATTTGACTAGGCATTTGCCTTTGAATGGGAGTCTGCTGGTATCCCCAAATATCTCCAAGGACTAAAGTCTTTGCCCCTAAAACTTGTTATGGTCGCGGTGGAGAGGTTGCCCTCTTAAGCAGCACTCCCAGAGTGCTCTGCCTTGTGGTTAGGCAGTGCCCTTGCCACGACAGGAATGACATTGCGTGGAATCACAGACTGTCGTAACTGAACCCCATTAACTAACCTGGCTTCTACCAGGGTTCCCAGGACCAAACACTTTTCCTTCAGCTCGCTGATCTCCATTTGTGCGATTATTTAACCGTCTGTTTTCCCTCTACCCTTAAATAAGTTCCATGATGGAAATGGCTGAGTCTGGGTTTTGCTCAGTTGTATCCCAGCACCTAGTACCATGCCTGACATAGAGTAAAGTCTCCATAAATATTTGTTGAATCAATGAGAGAAGGAGATCTTACTGATTACATTAGAAATCAGTTAAGGAGGCACAGAAATGAGAATCATATTCTACCGCTCCGTTTCCCCGAGATTAAATTTCAATTCAAAAAGACCAGACTTACTGGCCTGACAGAGGAAAACCCCCGAGACTATGGCCCCCAGACACCCTAACTCAGAACTGAAGCCACTCCCAAAGTCTACCTTTCAAGCCAAATATTAGACAGGCCTATTAAAAAAAAAAAAAAGTAGCACACGTGAGGAACGTGTTACTTTAATCCAGTACATGAGACCAAATGGGCAACACTTGGCCAAAGGCAAAAAGAGAAGGCAGGAAGGGACAGGAAAAATGGACAAACGTTCACGGAGAATCCGGGTTGGAAAGGGAAGGGAGAGAGTGCTGATACGTTGCAGAGATTCTAACCAATGTCACAAAACAATTTGTGTCTAAATTTTTAAACGAGAAACTAATTTGCGCTGTAAACTTTCACCTAAAACGCAATAAGATTAATAATAAAAAAAAAATTCAAGGTACAGTGATTAGGTCCCGAGACTGCTCTTAACTACTATACAATAAACTGGAATGATTTATCTGAAAAAAAAAAAAAACCTATTTCAAAGTTAAGTGGGTCTTATTCTGGATTAAATTCACTCAACCATTATTAGTATCATATTTATAGTTATTATTATTACACAAGTAGTACAGGTGCATGGAAGGAAAAGTAGAAAATACAGAGAAGCACAAAAAGAAATCCCTACTACTAATATTTCTATCCCTCTGTCAGAAGTTTGCCGGTATTCTCAGTCTGTCAAATTTCGTGCGGCTAATTCTAACAGGGATTTTCTTCCCCCTCCCCCATTCCCAGGGATAGAGTCTGCTCTACCCCAAGCTGCACGCTCTCCCATTCACACTTTTGGAGCTCAAGCACTGCGCTTCTCCTTTGACAGACACCGGCTCCCTGCAGCACAAACCCGGAAACGCTCAGCGCTTCCGGCAGCCAGTGGATTGGAAGCTGGCTGCTGCACCGGGCATGCGCAGAAGCAAAGTGTGCGGAGGACCGGGGCCTTAGCCACAAGCGCAGGCGCAGAAGCGGCAGGAGGGCTGTGGGTTCATTCCTTGTCTACCAGGCTTTCTTCACGTTCTCCCTGGACCCGGGTTACGACCGCACGTGACCCCTCAACCCAGATCCCAGGTGGGCAGGTGACAAGTGAGGACCAGGGCCTGGGCAGTAGGGAGGGGAATCGGGATGTGTCGAAGTATATTAGGGAGTTTAAGACCTTGCCCGCCCTTAGCCGTAGTCTTTTTAGAGTTCCCTCTTTCCACGGAGGAGCATCTCTTCCTCGAAAGGAGCGTTGGGGAGGGCAGTCAGCATATGAGGAAGCTGTTTGAAAAGGCGAGACTTTGCCTGGGACAGGGAAGTTGTCCTCATTTTGTTGACATTTGTCACTCTCCTTAACTGGAGACGGAGTCATTGGGATCATTTCGCCTACCTTACTGAGCATCTTTACTTGGCTAAAATTTTTCAGCTCAGTCGACGAGGAACGCCTCTGTGCCTGATTCCACTCCTTCACTTCCCTCAGTTTTCCACATCTGCAAAATGGAGATGGTGATTTCTTTCCAGCCTGCTTGTATTAAAATGAGGTTGAAATTCCAGTAAGATGAAGGCAGTTTGTAAACTAGCAGGTGAAACACACGTTAGTAGTTACAACCAGGATGCAGCAAAGCAGAGTAGAAGTAGTCTGGAATTGAGGTCTTCACCTCTGGTATCCAATGACCAACTTGGCCTTGACCAAGCCACTTAACTTCCCTTAATCTTTGTTTACTCTTCCGTGGAAAGAGGTTAGTAATAACGTATGCTACCAAAGTCTCAGTAACTGTGAGGTTAAAATGAAATAATTAACGTGAAAACATTTAAATAATATATGTTGATATATAAACCAATATATATATTTATATGTGTGTAAATTGATATATATATCAATACAGATATTGATGTATACATATATATGTGTGTGTAAATTTTAGCTGTTATACATTCTCATCACTTCCACAGCATCATCTGTAAAGAGTATATACATGTACGTGTGTGTATATATGTATATGCAGGTATGCATTGCTGAACGTCCAGGATACGTTCTGTGAAATAGGATGTTATGCCATTTGAACACCATGTTATATACAGGTAGTCCCCATACAATCCGTAGTTAAATCCCTGCAAAGCCTGTTATATTAAAACCTGATGGGAGCCCGCTGAACAAAGCCTGAGAGCTGTATTCACTGGATACAGGAGGCTGACCTTGAAGGCCAGGTGTGCACCTGGACCAGGATGGAGCTGTGCTGGCAGCCGGATGGGGACTTTGTGCACTACCGGGGCAGGGCTCGGGGCGCACTCGGGGTGAAGAGAGGTGGCCGGTGAAGAGCGGGTGTGGGTTCTTGGAGGGTGGCTGGCGGTGGCAGCCCTGGCTACTGCCGCCCTGTCGGTGGCTCTGCTTCCTGATCCCGTGTAGCCGCTGCCCCTGCTGCCCTGAAGCGCCCCGCCAGCGCTTCTGGGAGGAGCGGAGGTAGCAGGGAGTGAAAAGCTGCAGCCCTGCTGGGCGGGTAAATAAAGCCAGGAGGAGGCCGAGGATAAGGCTTTGCCGGGAGTGGGATGCGCCCTGGAGCCCCGCTGCTTGTTTACTCTAGGCGTTCGGGGTCTTTAAAACCATTAGGGGGAAATAAACAAAAGGAGAGGTGCTTTCCCTTTAAAAAAAAGAAAACCTTATGGGAGCTTGGACGTATATGCAGTAGGAGGTTGTCCAAACAGAAAACATTTATTTGAAAAGAAACATAAGGATCAAAGATGTGTTCTGAGACTTGCCTTTTTTCTTTTTCATTTTTTTTTTATTCTTGACCACAAAAAAAAAAAAATTCCTTTGTACCTACAGTTCCTACCCTTTAGGGCTACTTAAAGATACAATGTCTTTGAATGCCAGTACTTTACCCCTTGCTTCTTAAACTCAGAAGGTCCTATTGAGTGGCAGACTGTAACGTGCTTATGTATGTGCAGCTCTTCAGTTTGCCAAGTGCCTGGACATCAGCTGCTGTTTAATCCTTGTTACTCCAATTTGCAGATGAAGAAACAGAGACTGAAAAATTATTTTTCAAAAGTCAGTTCACGTAAGAGCAAAGCTAAGACTCAAACACAGTTATTCAGATCCTGCATTCAGTGTTCGTTGTGCCTCACTCTGGCTGCTCTGGGTCATGATCTATCATAGCAGCCTGGCAAGGAGAGAGAGGGGACCAGCACAGAGGAAAGAGCGTGGGCAGAAAAACCTACGTTTGAATCCTGTCAACATCAAGTATTAGCAGTTGGTTTTCACTTCTGTATAATACAAGTGGAGTACCTGGGTGGCGCAGATGGTTAAGTGCTTGACTACTAGCCCAAAAGTGGGTGATCTGAACCCTCCCAGAGACACCTTGGAAGAAAGGCCTGGCGATCTGCTTCTGGAAGGTCCCAGGCTTAAAAACCCTGTGGAGCAGTTCTACTCTGCACACCAGTCGCCATAATCAGAATTTATTCAATGGCAACTAACAACAACGTGATAGAAGTAATAGTAGTACTTTATAAATTTCTTACGAGGATAACATAAAATGATACACGTTAAATTGTGTGATCCACACAGATGTTCGTTACATGGAAGCTTTTATGAATATATGCTGATTAGATTTATGCTACATGGCATATTGCTTTTATGTGGGAATGTAGGTTACATTATTGCAGTGTGGTAAAAGATTAATAATTCCAGAGTGTCTTGTGTCCAGTAAGTAAACCTGGGAAACTGTGTATATATGTGTATATATATATATGTATAAGTTTTAATTTAACTTTTCGTTTCTTAAATACACAATCACTTAAATTTATTCCTTAAATTTTTTTCTATAAAATTTATTAAGTACTTTATTGTACAAAGCACTCAACTGGACAAAGTGAAAGTCAAATTTCTTTGCAGCATTGTGATGTTGACATAAGCTTAAAATCATATCTGTGGTTTAATAAAAATTATTATAAGCCAATAATTGGATAGAGTAAGGATTAATATGATGTACAAATCAAAAACAGACACATATTTTTCCATTTTTAATTAAGTATCAAAAGACTATATGTAGCATATATGTAAGGTGATAGAGTTCAAATGTGAAAGAAACACCACTCAGCATAAGAACTACACTGTTACCGATTGCTTTGAAGTTCTCCTGTGTCCCTCCCAAATCACACCCCTTGCCATTTCCTCCAATCCTCCCTCCCCAGCTGAATTGGGAATTATTGTCTCTTTGCTTTACTTTGTAGTTTTACTAAATGTGTATTCCTAAACAATATATTGTTTCATTCACATGTTTTTGAACTTCATATAGAGAATCATGCTGTGTTTATTTTTTCTACCCATTGTGCAACAATATATTTCTGAGATTTAAATATATTGATGCACATTTAAAAAAAAACATATTAATGCCTTGAAATGGATTGGTACATTCCTTTTCCCTGCTGTTTAATATTCAGTTGTTGAATATATAGCTATTTGTTTATTGTGTCTATGGACAGTAATTATTTGTTACATAGTAATTATTTGTTACTGATTTGTTATTATGAGGAGGTTTTGAGTGGAGGATATTTTGTTTTGATTTGCTATTTAGAAACATTTACATTTAGCTTCTAGTTCATATGTGCAGGAGTCTCTCTATGATATGTATCTAGAAGTGGAATTGCTACTCCTAGGTAGTGTGACCATATATTTATTGTCTCATCTCAACCAGCACTGTTTTAAGAATGAAAGAAGGCACTTAATAATTTTTCTGAGACTGGAATTATCTCGGGAAAATCAAGACGTATAGCTATTCCAGTTGTAGGCTAAGTGCTTGCAGAACTTTACTAAACCAGTTGCCGTCAAGTTGATTCTGACTCATGGCGGCCCCATATGTTGCAGAGTAGAACTGTAGTCCATAGGATTTTCAAGGCTGTGAACTTTCAGAAGGAGATCACCAGGCCTTTCTTACGTGGTGCTGCTGGATGGGCTCGAACTGCCAAGCTTCCAGTTAAGAGATAATACCAAATTGTTTCCCAAAGTAGATACACAAATATATACTGCTTTCAGCTTGTTTAAATCTCTTGCCTATTTTTCTGTTGGCTCATTTCTTGTACTATTGATTTGTAGGAATTCTTTATATATCTTAATATTAATCCCTTTTCAGTTACATGTGTTATAAATACCTTTTCCCTGTTTATGGCTTGTTTTACTTTCTTTAGGCTATTTTTCATGATAAAAGTTATTTAGTATTAATGCAGCAAACTTGTCAGTCTGTATGTTCTGTACATATTATGCCTTGTTTTAGAAACTTTCCCTACTTTGAGACTAGAAAGATATTCTCTTTTGAAAGTTTTACACTTTTGCCTTTCACAGTAAAGTTTTTAATGTACCTAAAATTGATTTTGTGTGTTGTGTGCAGTAAGATTCCAAATTAATTTTTTCCTGCATGTATAAGTTGTCCAAACACAATTACTGAAAAGTCAACCCCTTCCCTCAACTGCAACCACCCCTGTCCTGTCATATTGACACCCTCCATTTTTGGTGTGAAAATATATTGCTGGGTTTAATTAATGAATATTTTAAGATTTTTTTGTATCTATGCTCATGAGTGAGACTGACCTATAGTTTTCCTTTTAGTGTGGCCTTATCAAATTTTGGTATCAAGATTATACATTTTCTTTGTGAGTGGGAAGACTTCTAACTACTAATTGTATGTTTTAAATAGTTATAGAACTATTCAAGTTATAAATATATGCCTATATGCTATTTAAGTCTTGAGTCAATTGGGTAAATTAAATTTTTTAAGGAATTTGTCCATTTTTGTCTCAGTTCTTAAATTTATCAGCACAAAGTTGTTTATTGTATTCACTTAACATCTCTTTAATCCTTCTAGAATTTGTAGTAATGTTCCCTTTTTCAATCCTGATGTTGTTTAGTTCTGCCTTCTTTCTTTTTTTATTGACCAGTCTTGCCAGAGGTTTGCCAATTCAATTGGTCGTTTCAAAGAACCAAATTTTAACTTTGGCTTCAAGTACTCAATTACTTATTCAGAAAAGAAGGGCTGCAATTAATGAGCTAAGCCGCCAATTTATGAATTAGAAAATAAATAGCAATATATACAGAGAAATAAAGAGGAAGCAAATTAAAAAAATTAATGAAATAGAGAACAAATAGGTATTCAATAGAGAGCTTGAACAAATGCTGAAACATTGAAAGCATTTCCTTTACAGCAAGGAAAAAGATGCTAAGAATGTCCATGTCACCCCTTGTATACAGCTTGGTTCTAGAAGTCCTAACCTGTCCAAAAGAAATAAAAGAGATGAGGATTAGTAAGGAAAAAAATAAAACTATTGTTTTTTTTGCAGGTGAAATAATTGTCCATGGTGTATTGAGTGAGTCAGTAGTTTGCTGTGCAGGACTGTTTCATGCATTGCAGGACTTAACATCCCTGGAGTGGAGAAGAAATGCCTCTAATACCACCACCACCCCACCCCCACCCCCACCTTTCTTTATGACAACCGAAAAACACTTCTGTGCATTTAAAATGTCCATGAGGGATAGAGAACAGTTCCTCCCTGGGCGAAAACCACTGGTATAGATAATCCAAAAGAATTGCTAGAGAAATTATTAGAATTAATAAAAGCATTAAACAAAGTAGCCAGCTATGAAATCGATATATTTAAAGAAAAAATTACATTTATTTACAGTAGTTACAAAATTTTTTAAAATGCAGTTAAAATATATATAGAACCCGTTGCCATCGAGTCAATTCCGACTTATAGCAATCCTACAGGACAGAGTAGAACTGCCCCCATAGGGTTTCCAAGGCTGTAATCTTTACAAAGTCAGACTGCCACATCTTTCTCCTGCGGAGTGGCTGGTGGGTTCCAACCACCAACCTTTCGGTTAGCAGCCGAGTACTGAACCGCCGTACCACCAGGGCTCCTTATGTACCATTTACAATAGCATAAAAAAATTCTGAGTACCTGGAAACAAATCTAAAAAGATGTATAAAGCCTTTAACGGAGAAAAAGTTAGAATTTTATTAAAAGACTTTAGGAAGTCGTAAATGAATGACAAGATTAACTATGTTCATGGATTGAAAGGCTCAATATTGTAGCCCTGTGTCAATCCCCAGTGTTGGCTCCTTGAAAGCTGGGATAATGTTACATTCAGCCCTGTGTCTAAGGCATAGTAGGAGCTCAGTCAGGAATTATTTTTTTGTTTATGGGACATTTTGGTGCAGTCCTTTGACAGTTTGTTTTTTTTTTAAATATGCAACTAATATTCAAGAAATTAAGATTTGTATTAATATAATTTTTGCTCTGGATTGGGTGGGCAGTATCTTTGTAAACTTTTATCACTAGGAAACAGGAATTGATTTTCTAAATTAGATTGGATTAGAAACAAAGTTTCTGAAAATCAAATCATAGTTAGAAACCTAAGTTTTGACGTGGAAGACTTGCTTTTTTTACTTAGCTTTCTTCATTTGCAAAGATGATTTCTTTAAAAACATGTTTTAGAGAAATTGGTAAACACAGAATTGCTGTGTCAGAGGATTTTATACTTTGCCCAGCTGCCCTTCAGAAAGATTATATTCCCACTGTCAGTATGTCAGTTTCCACAAAATTGTCACCTCTAATACTTTCTCACCAATGCAATAGGCAAAAAAAAAAATTATATACCATAATTTTAGTCTGGATTTCTTTGATTATTGCTGAAGCAGTTATTTCTTAGTATAATTATGCAATCCTCAGAATTAATAAGTCAATCACAGTGGTTGTTGTTGTCAGCTGCCTTGGAACCAGCCCTGGACTCCTAGCAATCCCACACACAACCGAATGAAATGCTGCCCGGTCCTGCACCATCCCCATGGTGGGTCATTAATCGGACTGTCGTGATCCACAGGGTTTTCACTGGCTGATTTTTGGCAGTAGATCACCAGGTTTTCTTCCTATTGCATCATATTCTGGACACTCTGCTAAAACCTTTTCAGCATCATAGCAGCACACAAGCCTCCGCTGACAGACAGGTAAAACCAGATGGAGAAGCTTTATCCACATATGATTGATTCTGCACTTCAATATTCTTGAGGTAGCTTCCTTTATTGAGTTCCCTGTGAAAACATTACAGGAATAAATGGGTTTTGTTCCTTTTTGTTGTATTTTACTAATTTATACCTAATAATTATTGGATGAGTATATAAGAAAGGGGGAATTAGTAACTGACTGGTAGACAAGAAGCTTCTCTAAAATATTTAACTTTAATTATCCGCTTTAAAATAAATTTGTGTTCAGGTCTCCTGGTGATCTATGCTGTGGAAAAGCAAAGGTAATTTGGAAAACTGTGATGGAAGTGTTGACAGGAAGAAAGTAATCTATACATCAGCCAAGTAGAGTTTTTAAAGGTCAAAAAGGTATTTTTTTCTCCTGGGAAAACTGTCATCTTTTATCATAGTCTGTTAGGTTTCTTTAATTTGAATTTGCTCATTATGAGAATAAAACTATATAAAGTAAATTTTACCCCCTCCCCCCAAAAGAAAGTTCTTCAAGAAAAGGAATAAATGCTTTTTGTTAGGGTTCAAATCCTTGCCCTATTCTGGGGCCCCACCATCGATTGTCAACGCATCATTTCAGCTTTAGCTGCTTCTGGTTTCTCAGCTTACTAGCGGTGTGATTTTGAGCAATCCACATGATCTCTCTAAGCCTCAGTTTCCTCATCTTCAGAATAAGGAAGATGATAGCAGCTATATTATAGGGCTGTGGTGAGGATTAAATAAGAAAATACTGAATATGTAAAGCACTTGGAAAGCCTGCCGCGAAGTAAGAGCTTAATAAATATTACTGATTCTCGTCATCAGCTTCAGCAGTCACTGCTCAATGAGCATGCCTTTTGCTTTTTTAAATGCTTAAATTTTGCTCATGCCATTCTCACTGTCTCAAATTCCCAGAATTAGGTAGACAACGTTATAAGCCCAGAAGAGGGCAAAGAGATTATTATAGGTTGGAATGGCTTGGGAATGTTTCGAGGACGAGGGAGACTTCAACCGAGCCTTAAAGAATGAGTAGTATTGAAAAGGCTGAAGAAATGGAAGTCTTTTGAACTTTGAACCATTGGATATATTACACTAAACTTCTTTAATCAAAAACAATTTTAATAATAAGATTGAATCAGCTTTGTAATAACTCAAATACAGAACTGATGAGATTAATTTATATTTGTCTCTGTTCCAGGCAACTATGGAAAATGCCAACGGTACTAATCAGAGCATGACTGAGAAGTCTCCTCCAGCTGAGGTGGGAATGGAGAGCATTATTGACCAGGTGACTCAGGAAGAACAAGGGCAACTTCTTTTTCATGAGGAAACCATTGACCTCGGTGGAGACGAATTTGGGTCTGAAGAGAATGAGACTGTATCAGAAGATTCTAATAACTTCATAGATAAGCTTAATGAGCAAATGATGGAAAGTGTCCTCATTTCTGACTCTCCTAATAACAGTGAAGATGATGTGGGCGAACTTGGTTGTTTGCAGGATGTTGTGGAGCCGGTAGAAAGTGAAGTGGATAACAGAATAGAAAATATAGATAAAGAAGAAATTGATACCCTGAGTAATATCAGTGAAACTGACCGTGATGATACACCTAAAGATGTCTCTGACATGACCCCTGATAGCAGAGCCTCTTTGAAAGAAGACCCAACACTAGAAGTAAAAGGCATGCCCGTATTTGAAAGTGAAGATGCAGCTGACTCAGTCCCAAGTGATGAAAAAACTAACCCAGAGGAACAGATATCAGAAATGTCTTCCAGTCAGTCTTCTTCTAAAGATGAGCCTGTCCCCATGTGCACCATTTTCAGTCAATCAAACACAGCTAATTCCCAGCCTCACCTGTTTCTTCATGACGGCTTTGAGTCTCAGATGGTGAAATCTCCTAGTTTCAGCAGTGCAAGTGAAACTTCAGCCAAGACACCTCCTCAGATGGTTCAGCCAAGTCCCAGCCTGAGTAAATTTTTTGGAGATACGACCAACACGAATTCCTTGGCTTCTGACTTCTTTGATTCATTTACTACATCCACTTTCATTTCTGTCAGTAATCCGAATGCAGGCTCTTCAGTCCCAGAAAAGTTGTCTTCACTCACCACTCAAGGGGGAGATAAATCCCCTGATTCTGCTGATCCTTCTTACTCTCCAGGGATTGACAGATCAGAGTCGGGTATTTCTACAGCCTCTCTAGAAATTTCTCAGTCACCAAAACCATTTTCACAGATACGAGCTGTATTTGCAGGGAGTGATGACCCCTTTGCCACAGCCCTGAACATGAGTGAAATGGACCGAAGAAATGATGCATGGCTTCCTAGTGAGGAGACCAGGAATGTTTTGATTTCTGTAGCAACTCAGCAGTATAGCACGGTGTTCATAGACAAGGAGAATCTCACCATGCCAGGCTTAAAGTTTGACAACATTCAGGTAAGACATCAGATATTTTCAAAGGCATTTCTCTAATGGAAATCTTTTCAATGAAGAAATAATTCTAGACTCATATCTGTTTCCTCGTAATCTATTTCTATATTTTAAAAAAAACCTTTAAAAAGATTGAAATATCCTTATTTTTCAGCAGTCAGTAAGATTCTGATTTTGAGAGTCTTTGTAATTATGTCACTGTATAATCTGGAATTCTGTTGATTTCCCTGATATAAGGGTCTACTCAGAATCTTAGAAATACCAGTAAGATATATAGTTATATCATAATTCTCTAAAGTAGTTTTAAACTTTGTATAATGAGTTTATTTGTGAAGTTTGAGTTGCAATAAATGATAAATCCATTACCTTTTTTAAATCTGGAAAAATATATGTGTTATACATATAACATGCTTGATATAGAAAGGGTATTTATAGATTCAATAACAAAAATCCGAACATCCCAAAAAATAACAAATCATAAAAATAGGTTAAGTGTTATGTAGAGTATCATAGTTGTCTGGTGCTGCTATAATAGCAATACCACAAGTGAGTGACATTAACAAACAGAAATATATTTTCTCACAGTGTAGGAGGCCAGAAGTCCAATTTTAGGGCACCGGTTCTAGGGGAAGGATTTCTGTCCACTCGGAGGGAAAATCTTTGAGCTTTTCTCCCTGAGTTCCTTGGTGATCACCACGTGGCATCAGTATTTCTTCATTTGATCCTCCTTGCTTCTCTCTGTACCTAATCTGCCCTTTTTATGTCTCAACAGTGATTGGCTTAAGACACACCATACCCTGATATGGCCTCATTAACATAACAAAGATAACCCTATTCCCAAATGGGATCATATCCACATGTATGCACCAAAAAAAAAAAAAAAAAAAAAAACCCATTGCCATCAAGTCGATTCCAACTCATAGCAACCCTATAGGATAGAGTAGAACTGCCCCATAGAGTTTCCAAGGAGCGACTGGTGGATTTGAACTGCAGACGTTTTGGTTGACAGCCAAGCTCTTAACCACAACACCACCACGGCTCTTGTCCACATGTATAGGGGTTAGTATTTACAACACGTATTTTTGGGGGACACAGTTCAATCCGTAACATAGTAAATGGTAATATAAAAAAATTCCATCTTAAAAGTAAAGACAATCAAGTTAAAGTAATTGTTTCCATTTTCCATCCATCTGATTGGGTGTTTTATTTATAATTATTCAGTGTTTGCTAGGGTATAAGAAGATAGCCAGTCTCAGACAGCACTTTGATATAAAAATTCCACTCTTAGGAATTTATTATTATGAGAAAATCACACTTGTATACAAATACCTAGCTACTGGAATGTCCATCAAAGTCGTTCATAACTGTAAAAAAAATCTGAAAAATTCTAAAAATCCATCATCAGAAGGTTGGTTGAATACATTCGACTCATCTCATCTTTACACTGAATATCTATGTAGGCATTAAAAATTCTGTTATAGCAGAATATCTGAGGAGGTTCACAATTTAATGTTAAATTTAAAAGATATAAACTAATATAGTACGGTAAAATTTTGTAAATATATGTATACAGATATACATATTTAAAAACAAAAACAAAAAACCCGTTGCCGTCAAGTTTGATTCTGACTCAGCGATCCTATAGGACAGAATAGAACTGCCCAATAGGGTTTCAAAGGAGCGCCTGGTGGATTTGAACTGCTGACATATATATATATATAATTTATTTATTTGGGTATTATGTTTTGTTATATCAGATTGCAGATAGCATTAAGAAGCTCCTTTGTGGCTAGATGGCATGAGACAGCACTATACCCACCAGTTGACTTGGCCCATATCCTGTACCCATTTTCCTGGATCTGAAAGAAGGCCCAGGAGGCTTCAGCAGCTGTCTCTTAGTAGAATAGCCAATTGCATAACTATGACTATTTTTATTAAATTAATAGACTGCTGAGCCCTGTGAGTGCTCACAACAAACAAAAAAAGTAGCGTGCTTGGAAAGTGAGGTCAATTAATTAATTTTTTCATGTAACTTAAATGTAGTCTGTAGTCGTCCAGATTTTGGATATTTTGCATGGCAATCTTTCCATAATATTCATTTATTAGGTATATATTTATTGACTTAATATTTATCAGGCATTGTAGGCAAGGAGCCCTGGTGGCACAGTGGCTAAGAGCTCAGGCTGCTAACCAAAAGGTTGGCAGTTTGAATCCACCAGCCACTCCTTAGAAACCCTATGGGGCAGTTGTACTCTGTCCTATACGGTCACTATGAGTTGGAATCAGCTTGACGGCAACGGCTTTGGTTTGGTTTTTTAGGTTCTAGGCAAGCTTCCCTGGTTTTTTAAGCAGAACATACTGAACATAATTCAGCCTTTATAGGATCTTTTTAATGAATACCAATTATTGGACTGTGATTTCAGGGTATTTTTGGATATTTAAGATTTGATTTCTTTTTCGCTGAATCCTGTTCTCTTCTTCCCCCGCCCTCCCTCCACACCTACAATCCCAGGATGACTTCAGTGGTCTGCTTCATGTTTCTCCACTTCCCCCACTTCCTGGGCTCTTTGTACGCTCTGCTGTTAAGTTCCTATAGTATTAGTGGACCTGGCCTTTAACACTTCCTTTTTGAACTATCTCTTGTTTGTCATTTATTTCCCCTGTGATTGTAATTCAGGGGAAACTAAAGATTGCCAAGGAGAATGACATAACCCAGTGGTTCCCAACAAGGTGGAGTCCCTGGGTGGTACAAATAGCTAAGTGCAGAACTACTAATCGAAAGGTTAGTGGTTCAAACCTACCAAGAGGTACCTCAGAAGAAAGGCCTGGCAATCTGCTTCCAAAAGGTCACAGTCTTGAAAATCCTATGGATTGCAGTTCTACTCGGCACACGTGGGGTCGCCACGAGTTGGAATCAACTCGACGGCCACTGGTTTGGTGTGGGTTTGTTTTTTGAGTTTTTTTGTCCAACAGGGTACTGGGACCCAGTGGTCCTGGGGTGCATTTAGAAGTGTGTAGAGGTTTCATTTGGGTTGTCAAAAGGGCTGGCGAGAGCAAATGGCATTTGGTGGTACAGCCAAGAATGCTAACTACCTGGCAGTGGCTGGATAATAGCATACAATAAAAAATCCCACCCAAAATGCCAGTATTTCTTAAGTTGAGAAACATAAGGTCTAAAAGTCTGCTCGTTTAATTAGATCAAATCAAATAAAGAGGCTGTGTTTATAAGTAGGGTGTCTCCGGGTGGTGTAAACGGTGAGCGCACTCAGCTGCTAACTGAAAGGTTGGAGGTTTGAGTTCATCCAGAGGCAGCACAAAATAAAGGCCTAGCAATATACTTCTGAAAAATCAGCCATTGAAATCCCTGTGGGGCACAGTTCTACTCTGACACACGTGTCACCAAGGGTCAGAACCCACTCCATGGCAACTCTGACTGATTTATAAGTAAAGGGCATTTGTTGTTGTTAGCTGCTATCCAGTCGACCCCCCGACTCATCGCAACCCCGTGCAAAATGGGAGCGGACCATTGTGATCCATAGGGTTTTCACTGGCTGATTTTTCAGTAGTAGACTGCCAGGTCTTTCTCTCTAGTCTGTTTTAGTCTCAAAGCTCTACTGAAACCTGTTCAGCAGCATAGCAACACGCAAGTCTCCACTGACAGAGGGGTGGTGATTGCACTTGAGGTGCATCGGCAGGGAATCAAACCCAGGTCTCCTGCATGGAAGGTGAGAATTCTGCCCCTGAACCACCACTGCCCCCAGTGAAGGGCATAACCGAAAAAAACCAAACTGGTTGCCGTCAAGTTGATGCCACCTCATAGTGACACTAAAGGACAGAGTAGAACTGCCCCATAGGGTTTCCATGGAGCGCCTGGTGGATTCAAACTGCCAACCTTTTGGTTAGCAGCCGAGGTCTTAACCACTGCACCACCAGGGTTTCCACTAAAAGGCACAGGCTTTGTGATTTCTGCCTTCGTAGCTTTGAAGCTTCTGTTACTTACCTCCCCGATCATAGTTCCTGATGGCTAACTGTGAAATAAGCGGGGTATTCAGCCAGTCAGCAAGTATGTATGGAACACCCATTACATGTGGAGAGCGTGCACTTAGAGGCCAGCCAGGAGGCTGTCTTTTCTCTTTGTTTCCTTTAAATCCTGATGTCTTCCATAGCTCTCACAATTCACAACGGTTGCTTTGGAAACCCCGCGGCAAGTAGAAATTTTAACCAAGATTAGTTCCCAAAATACTTTTGACTGTCACGTACAACAAGTGTGGTGGATTAACAAATGTTTGTTCACTCAGTGTCTCCTTGGGCGTGTATCACCCTGCAAAGAAATTTTTGATTCCCAGGGTAGAAATGAAAACTTTAAGGTTTACCTTAAATGGAAATGCTGAGTTTGCCAGGGAACTTAAGCTTAGTATAACAAAGAATAGTTTCTCTATTAACTTTCTGTGCCCACGAAGCATTTAAAATGTCATCCAACCATTTGTCAAATCTACCTGTTGACAAGCTTTTCTGCTGTTGTTACTGTTAAAGCGTTGTTATAAATTCGGGTTTCTAAAATACTTAGATATTTGAATTTTTTTTCTATACTGCTCATCTATCGGTACCTTATTAAAAATCCCCTTCCTATGAAATAAAACTTGAAATTTTAAAAAATATTTCTTTATTACATAAGTAGTTTTTATGGCAGTCTACAAAGCCTTTAAAAATTAATGTATAAAACTTCATTTACATATAGCAGCATCACATGAATAATAGTATTTTTAGCTAATTATAGTTGTAGTTGGCATATATTCTTCTCAAAGAAACAAGTGGTAAGTGTTGGGGGAAGTAAAACTGTAACCATAACCCAGTGCCGTCAAGTCGATTCTGACTCATACCAACCCTATAGGACAGAGTAGAACTGCCCCATACGGTTTCTAAGGAGCACCTGGTGGATTCGAACTGCTGACCCAAATACTAGTTGAGAAATTTTCAGAGTCAGTAAGAAAAGAAAGCTGGAGACT